CATGCATCTCTGCCTCTCATGCTTCTCTGCCTCTCATGCTTCTCTGTCTCTGCCTCTCATGCTTCTCTGTCTCTGCCTCTCATGCTTCTCTGTCTCTGCCTCTCATGATTCTGCGTTATCTTGCTCGTTCACTAAACTGTTATTTAAACCCAGAGGGGGGCAGCAGCATCCTATCCAGAAGTCAGCACAAGCTCACCACCTCCGTCCGTCTCAGGCAGTTCCGGGCCTCGTGCTCCAGCAGATTCTCCTTCCTGTAGTAACACTTTCCACACTTGGAGCACTCAAAGGGCTTCTCCCCGGTATGGCGTCTGAGTGACATGGAGGGTGAGGAACAGTCAGGCGTAACACAAGGGCCACCAGGGTCAGCTGCTCGTTACCTACATTGTGATCTTATCAGTTTGCTTTTGCATTAACAGGCAGTTGTATGACAGCTACTACCTGTGTTCAAATTGAGGACAATCTGGGGGACCTCCATAAGAAAATATTCATCTGGGAGCGGGGGGGGGGGGGGGGTCCCTTAAAATGGTCATCTTACAGGATTCAATGCTCCCCACCCCAGGTCGACAATTTTTGCCCGTCAAGGAACCCCTACAACATATCTGACTCAATTCAAACACCACTATCACCTAAACATATTTAAACACTAAACCAAAAACCTCTAAGTTTTATTCCTTTATGAAATAAACATATTTACACTACCTTCTGTCTGTTGGTTTCTAAATGCCGTACATAAGACCTCATGCATTAACAGGAGAGCTTTACATGGCAACAAGGAACCGATTCGGCTTAGATGCTCACCGGTTGTGCACTTTGAGGTAGTACTTGCTAAAGAAGGTCTTTTGGCAAGTGGGACACTGAACAGACCCCCGTTTGGGGTCCCCCCCAGCCTGCTCGCCATTCTCCTTGCTGATGGCCTTTCTCCGGCGCCTGCGCTTCACCTGCTGGGGGGCCGGGCCCATGCCGGCCAACGAATGGGGCATGTACTCGTCATCAGTGTCCTCCTGCCCATCCACCTCGCCACAGTCTTCATCCTCCATGTCGTTGGATGGCTGCTCCTTCTGATACACCTGGCAATGGCAGGAAAACCGGCAAGCACATGTCAGGCATCTATTTGGCAGATGCTTTTATCCAAAGCGACGTAAATCTGAGAAATCAGGGTCAGACAGTCCCTGCAGCAATTGGGGGTCAAGCAGCAGTGAAGTCCCTCTATCCGCCCTGCATAATATCATCCTCACTAGTCATGCTGAAACAAAAGCATCTGCCAAATAGATAAATGCAAACAAAAGAGAAAGTTTCACTGGCTCCCGACTTAAAGTTTGAAGGGAATACCGATATATTTTGTACATGAAAAAATGATGCCTTAACTGCTTAATCTCTTAACATACAGACAGTGTTTTGGCTTGATCACAATATACAAATATATGTATTTAGTTACTTCGGATTCATTCACAGGCTGTTCAAAGTTCTGGTCACTTGCTTCAGCACCATCCGGCCCCCTCTCCACGGACATCGGCTCCCTCATTCGGGTATCTGGGGGGGTGGGACTTTCCCGGAGTAAGCGAATGGGGCCCTTGACCCTGCGACCGGAGCGTGTTGTAGTTGTGACAGTCAGTTGCTTAGGCACAGAGTTGCACACTTTTGGCCTAGATTTGGATTTTAGCCTGGGCCTAGGGTTCCCCCTAATGGGGACGTCAGGCTTGGAGGTGTCCTTGGGAGAAGCGCCATGGGAGTGTTCCTCATCACCACCACCCTTCCCGTCTTTCGGACCTTGGGGTCCTTTCAGGCATGTCATGTTACTGGCAAACTCCTGACATATCCTCAAGGCATCTTGTATAGACAGGCCCACTGCAGCGCATTGAACTTTTTCAAGGTTGGCAGAGTCCAGTTCGAGCTTTCCCGTGTACACAAAATCCAGGAGCAGCTCCAGGCCCTCTGTGGAGCAGTCGTCCGGCAGACAGTACTCCATGTGTGACGTGGAGGTTGGGCAGGCGCTCTGGAAGATCTCACTGAAACAAGCCAAAACGTTGCGATGCACCTTGTAGCACTTGCCACTGCCAGTGCTGAGAATAGCGTCGCAGAACCTGCCCAGCGCCCTCTGCTGGTTGAGGGAGGACAGCAAACGCTCCGCATGGGTGTTCTCCAGAGGAGCCATCTGGCCCTTGAGAACTGTAAGAGGGCAGAAGGGAAAGTAATGAACACCACCGTTAGTTGTCACTCCTGAGTAGACGCACGTTATAATTAAAACAATTCAGCAAAGCTTACCCCACGACGTAGTGCAATATTTTCATTTTATTAATAGTAAGCTGCGTCGTTGCGATCGCTTCTTATGACCAGTTATATTTTAGAGGATAATTGCAGTTTTAAACAGGTGTTCGACACCAAAGTAGTTCTACGGGTAATATAACCGCTCTGTCAAACAGGGTTCGTGCAATAAGTGACAGAACACCAAGACAGCACACGCCATCGTTGGCTCAGAAGTTACATTTAATTATTAAAAAATAAATATGTTACCATCCGCATCTGTTACGCGTATGCACGGTTGGATTTGTGAGATATGCGTGAGGGAGGAGGGAATCGTAATGTTGCAGACGGAAAATAAATCACGTGAATTGTTCATCTAAAATAAAATATAACTAGCTGGGTACTTGTGGCTATCCCTCCCTCGACGTTTGCAACGAGATGTATGTTTTTAAAGACGCTCCCTTAGCCTTCATTTCAGGGGATGAAACAACAACTGATATATACACTTACCTTATTTTGGCCGGTATAAATAGGAATCGTTTTTTTTAGCTTGTTAGCTGTCAGGTTTTGTAAAACAAAATACATTTAATTCTTCTCTAGATATCATGAATTATTTTTTTCAGCTAAAAAGGAAGCCATATTGGAGCGGAGACCGGATATGACGTCGTCGGACGGTAAATTGAAGTGCTGGTCTGGAGCTGGCTGAAAAAAAGATACGTCGGGCAGTGTGGAATTCATTGCTGACATTATGTCGAACATTAAGCACTTAATACCAAATTCTATGCAACATATCAGCACTGATCTAAGATTCTCAGAGCAGCTTTCATATTTTGCACATGGTAAAAACCAAAAGTGCGCTGCAGTTTGAAAGTATTTTCCACGTATGCATCAAATGTGGAAAGATTACAAGGGCTATTGTGTGTCCAAATTTGGCCGACAGATTGATTTCAGCGTTATGCTCTTCAGCAAGACCCTTAACTGCAACAGTAACTGGCTGCCCCTGCTTTCTCAGTCGTACGTCGTTTCATTTGAAAGTGTCTGGTAAATAAATGTAAGACGTTTCTTGCGCTTATTTAACATCCTGATCGCCGAGGGTGTTGTAGATACTTCTGCCATCCACTAGGGGTGCTCATGCAGAAAATCGCAAGGAAACAAAAACTTCGGGGAGGTTATTCACTGTCCATCATTTTTTCACGCGAGCGACGCTTAGGAACGACGTTGTTCCGATTCGTATTTTAAACGGGGTTCGGTCTAGTGTTTAAATCGGCAGTTAATTTCCTAGGCATTTATGTATTTGTGATACTGTCGCAGGTGAACTTCGGGGAAGTGCATTTTGTGTGTAAATATACAGGTCGCTGGGCTGAATGACAGTGCTGGTTGGCCAAACGAGCCGTGTAGCGCGGCGGCGGCGCCTGTGTTACACATGGACCGAGGCGACACCGCGTTTGCTCCTCTAGCTGCTTTACAAGTTACCCTATCCTTATAGACGGCATACTGATACAAGAGAAACCATAAATGCTGGCTACGAGACGTTTCCGTTTTATCGATTAAGGAGGTAAGATGTTTATGATTAATAAAGAAACTATTAACGGGGCAACTAAGGTTCAGTAAATCACAATAGCATGCAAGCTAGCAGTCGAGAGAGGTATTAAAAGTTGGTGCATCCTTAAGAATTTACTCGCAGCAGCCCTACTTTTCTGTTCTAATTTATGCATTGGCCTTTAAATTTGGTTGGTGCCAGCCGCTGATGTAGTATTACAAATTATATTGTTTCTCACAGTTTCCTTAATAACGTTGAAGTTAATGTTAAAAGCTTGTATTTAGAGACGTCCCAGCATGTCACATTGGAAAATTAACACATACGTTGTGTGCTCATTATCCATGGATCGCCATGTTTTTACTAGGGTCGTACGCATTATGGGTATGCATTTTTTTCTTATTTGGCTTCAACGCATAATCTAGATTTATGTTCACAGTCCCTTCGTCTTAAGTGTCAGAACATTCTGATTCATAAGTTTATTTTCCTGCCCTTTACCGTATTCTTTTATCCCAAACCTGTTCAGATGGTATTTTTATTTGTCTATGCGTAGCAATAACACCTGTCAGTCAAATTATACTCTTTGATTAATGTACCAAAACCATTTAACAAGCGTGTCTGATTTAAATTATTGCAACCAAAAAACAAATGATTGCCCAGTTTTCCGTCAGCATCCGTTAATTTATTACCGCATATGGTTATAAAGAGTATAAAGGTGATGTAGCGAAGATTGTCCTTCCTTTGGTTAATGCAACAAAGCCCCAAAGACTGTGCTCAGGAAATGGGTACTTAATCTTATCTGACCGCTTCATGAATCCTGAAATATAGGGTCAGATGACAGTTTGGTCACAGTACTGGTCAGTTGTCATAATCAATGACACCGCCTTGCTTGTGTATCAGCATGAGACCCTCAAAAAATAAATTTACTTTAATATATGGCTGTACGGTGCTTTGCGAAAAGGACTGGGGGAATTCTGTGAGTGACATGGCTCCTTTATTACTTGCCTCTGGTTTGTTTTTAGTTAGAATTTCAGCTTTGTTCCTTGGACAGCAGCAGGCAAGACATGAAAGTGCCGAACAGCAGCATGAAGGTCTGGAGGAGGCATTCAGGCGAGGCGCGGAGGACCAAGAAGAAGAAGAAGAAGCATCTGTCCAACCACCGCGCCACGCTGCCGTGCATGCACCCCCAGAGCGTCAGCCCCGATTCCACTCTGGCTCAAAAGTACCATCAGCTGGCTGCCAAGGGGCACACTATCCTTAAGAGACTGAAAAACAGTGCCAAGCCAGTCAACTCTGCCCACAGGCACGGGTCTCCCCCGGAGACCAATGAGAAGCCTAGGGGTGGAGTCGCCTCCCTCTGCCACACCAATGGGAGCATGGAGGCTGACCCCCAGATGGATGAGTACTTGGAGGATGAGGAGGATTGGCGCTCCCTCGCTCAGTCATTGCTGCATAATGGTGCAGATGGGTCTGCCGGCAGCAGGAGTCCACCGGCTGCTCAGCCTGACGGCCCGGAGGAGGATGCCGTCCAGTTACACGCTGAGCTGGACCAGGGCCGCAGTCGGGCTGTGCTGGTCTTGCACCAAGGGCAGGTACCTAAGCTGCTTACACCCCGTCCTTCTTAGCAGTAGGTCCCGGCCGGTTAAAAACTGAAAATTGGCCCAGGTCAGAATATTTCATTTTGATAACAGAAAAATGGCTATCGAGGTAGTGCCCTACTTTCATTTCCAGTCTAGAGTTTTGCTGTGGCCAATCAGCAAACGCTTAAACTTTTTTTGGGGGTGAGGGGGAGTCTGTGGTACGGCTGGGCGATATCACATGGATATTATATGGCGCATTTATGAGATAATTGTGGGTGAATTTGATCGATGTGTTTTGTTGAACAGTCGAAAAATTATATATGACAAGGCATAGTTTGGTGAAAAGAGAAAAAAAATCCCACATCATACAGCATAGATTTTGCCTACAAGTCTCATGTTGTGTTTGTCTGCACCTTTGTTGCATGGAGGTTCTGTCATTTTTAGCTTCTTGATCTGAAAAACAGGCTAAACAATTCTTGCAAGGTGATGATCCTGTCGATCTGGCCCCTTCAAATCTGGTCCCTGATTTCAAATCCAGGCCTTGTTTTCAGTCCTCCCAGATAATTAGTTTAATAATTACTGATTCTGATTGGCCACAGAGACTTCACACCTGGCTCCCAGGTCCAGGAAGGTTGGAATCAGCAATGCTCAGACCACGTGGACCGTGATTTAAATAGCCCTGCTGTTGGTTCTGCTTGGTTTCTTTTGCAGCAATGGAAAAATGGAGCTTTGAGTCTTGCCTGATGAATCGCAAACCTCTCTCTCCTGACCAGAGCTTGACGTTCCGAGGGAGGAGCCTACTGACGTGCCTGTACGGGAGGGTGGAGGTCCTGGGCTTCACCATTGAAGAGGGTCAGCAGCCCTACCCCGTTTTCTCTCCACCCACAAATTGCCCTCTTACCATCACTGCTGTTGGAAACTCCACTGCCTCTAAGACCAAGAAAGAGCGCAGATTGGAGGCTAAAGGCATCATCCGCAAGTACCTGCCATCAGGTAAAGGCTGGCTTTTAGCTTTTATGTAAAGCCCCCCACCACCCCAATCTCTTGTTGTGCTTTATTGGCCTAGTGGTACGATTTATGCTTAGGGTGTGAGAGGTCCCAGGTTCAAATCACTGCTAAGCCCTAGTACTTTTTTTGGGGGTGAGGGGGGGTCTGTGGTACGGCTGGGCGATATCGCATGGATATTATATGGCGTATGCGCAATAATAGCCAGGGCTTCAGATCAAAGGCGAAGCATTTGGCTGGACACCAGCTTTTCGATAGTATATGAGCATTTATTTATGCTCAATATTTGGTAAACGGCTAAAATATTAATGAGATGCGTTTTGTGACACCAAAAACTTAGTAATCTTTATTAAATTTGGTTAGCGGAGCACTCCACATCATGCTATTTTGGTATACTATGTGTGGTGTGTACTATGTGTGGTATACTTTAGTGCGATTTGCACTGAAGTGTCAGTAAAGAAAGGAACAGCTCAGTAGCCGCGATCTCTTTTTAAAAGAGGAGATCTTGCAGATGAACAAGGTAAAAAGATGTTGGTTGTGTGGTGGTACTTCTCGCAGTTTAAAGTCTGACATGTTTATTAAACATAAGGATATGCCGAATTTCTGGGGCGTCAGAAGCATTTTGAATGTGGGGGGGACACACTGGCATAAAACTAATATTTTATGTTAAATTTGGGGGGGTCCAAACGAATAATTATGAAATGTGAGGGGACACGTCCCCCTCAGATTTAATGGCGGCTACGCCCATGTCGAATTTACTAACTTTTGGGTGTCATAAAATGCGTCATTAATATTTTAGTCATACTATTAATCTGCTTAACAAATTGTGGGCGTAAATAAATGTCTATATAGTAATGTCTGTCGTCCGGCCAAATGTTTTGCCTGTCATCTGAATCCCTGGTGATTATTGTATCGATATGATATGGCCGGCCCTAGTCTGTGGCTTAGTGGATTAGGACAGCGTGCCTGTGACTGGAAGGTTGCGGGATCACATCCCAGGCTCCACAGAGTGATTTCAGTGTTGGGTGCTAGAGCAAGGTTCTTCCCCCCCCTAATTGTTCCAGCCAATAGCTGAACCTGCTTTTTTTTTTTTTGGTTTTTTTTGGTTTTTTTTTAAGTGCGTCTGTTTGGGTAAAATCATCTGCTGAATAAATTAAATGTAATGTCATCCTTTGAACAAAAGTAGTCCAGTTTTGGCATAGAACGGTGGCCATTCACTAATATTTGCAGATGCTATCTCCATTTAAGTTGTATCAGTTCCTAGTTTCATATCTTCGGTGAAAATGTAGTTGTGTCCAAAAATAAGTTTGTAGAAGGAACCATAATACAAACAAAAAATCCTTCATTATCAATTAATTTAATGAGAATAGGCAATGCATATACAACTTAAGGGGGCGGAGTCCACAATAATCTGAATAGAGAATTTCTGTGTCCACAATGTAAAAATTAAATAATATTGTATTGAAGGTTGAGTAGTTGGCTTCTGACAAAATTCAATATGTACTGTATAAGTATGCGATTTTGGATGCATCCCTAATCATCTACTGCACATAGCTAGTGTGCTGTCCTACAGATGCATTGTGGGATGTGTGAGAGTCCTGCAACCCTGAAGTGGATTGTTCCACTTAATTTTCATATAGAATCACGTAAGAGGCTGCAGAGCCAGGTGGATTCTGAGTCCTGCGTGGTCCTGCTCGAGCCCCTGGATACCCCCCTGACCCGATTTCTTGCCAGTTTACCGGAGCACCGCGACCTGTTTGGGCTCAGTTCGGTGAGTGGGGTTCCACATTCTGCTTCTGGCTTCCCCTCAAAAAAGTTTTTCTGTTATTGTTATTGTAATGTGTGCACTGATGTTGCCATAGACATGCTACAATGTTACCTCAGTACTCAAACTCATTAGAACTCGAATTCCTTAAAAGTTGAACCAACCAATTCGAAAAAAAATGACCTAGAACTCAATCAATGTCAGGAATCGAACCGTGAACGCCGACCTAAGATAACTTGTACGCCCGGGGAAATGAGTCACGTGGCACGTCTCTCGGTGGAAACAAAGGGTAACACTTCAGTCTCGCATTCACTGTGATAGCATCGTGCATGTTTACACTAGCTGAATACGTATATTTAGACAGTAAAAATGCATTTAGACAATGATAGACAGTAACAGTAATTATTAAAAATAAAGATTTCTTATCGATTATTTTACTATCATTAATAATAAACCATTAATACATTTAAGTATAATATTTTCAGGCCAAGCGGGAATGGAACAGATACAAAGGCGTAGATGTCAGGGTATCGGGGAATACAGGGTTTAATTACAAGTAAGACAGGCAAAACGCAGACGGACAATACAATGACCGGACTGGGGAAACAAACTGAAATGCAGATGAAATACAGAGGACTAATGACAACAACCAGAAACAGCTGATCATACGGGGATTCCACACGGGGTTAACGAGGGGGCGTGGCACACGGAAGGAGCGGACGATCGGGGCAGGACTTCACAAATTATTGTTTTGGTAAATGTGCTTAGATGTGTTTAGTACAGTATCTGCTCTTGATTTATCCTGTTTATTTTGTTTTAAATGCTAAAAAAAACATATTTAGGTGTAATTTTTGGGGGGCCGGGAACCATTTAATTGGTTTTCCATTATTTCTTATGGGGAAAATTCGGTCAGAACTCAAACTTTTTAGGATTGGAACCCAAGTTCTGAACGGACTAAGTTCAAGTTCTGAGGTACCACTGTATTCTGCGATTGCTTTGACAGAAGGAGATTGTGGAACAGTGCTCCATTTTGGACTCTCCTCTCTCTGGTGTTGGCTTGATCCCACTACGAGGCAGTGAGCATGGCCTGATGACATCACAGAGCTACAGGAATGCCATGAAGACTCTGGTCAATGCTTGTGCAGGTAGGCTGGGACCTACAACGACCATTGAATGCTTACGTTGACCTTGAGACTAAATCCTCCAAGCTTAACAGGATATGCTGTGCAAGTCATGTACCCTAATCTGTGCTTATTCTTCCTTTGATCTGCACAGATGAATGATCTTGCAAGAAACCAAAGGGTGTGACATTGTAGGACTCATGCTTTTACATTTGCATTTTATCCTCTAACCTAGTGCATCTATTAGTGTTTTTATCAGGTGATAAATGTCAGTCTCTGCAAGTAAAGCAAATAAAAGCTCTTTTAGTTTGAAAATGTCACTGGGCTGTTTATTTCACAATAGCCATATTCCTTGTCTTTTTTTCCATCAATTTGACACATATTTCAATTGTTTTTTTTTGTATTGACTTGTTTAAACCGATACATTTATCTCTCAAAAACACAAGTTTTATTCTTGGCATGTTAGATAAGCAAATTTTTACTTTTCATTTTGATCTCTCTCAATGGAAGAAAAATGTCAATAAAAAATTTAAATAAGTCAAATATAATAGCAGTTTCTGTGTATGCTAAATGCTATACTTGAATAATTGGTGAAGAATAGAGAGTGATGATCTTCAATGTGCTCTCTCCCTACAGAGGAACCTGATGGCTGTCCTGTCATTCTGATCTGTGGGGCTAAGAACACAGGGAAATCCACCTTCAACCGCCACCTCATCAACACGCTGCTGAACCAGTAAGCGGACTTTTTGGTTGCATCAGTCCATAACCTCAGAGCGTTGATGCAATGCTGATTTATCATTGAATCTCCTTCTTATGGCATATCCCTGTGCCACCCACAGCACGGCCAGCGTGGACTACCTGGAATGTGACCTGGGTCAGACTGAGTTCACACCCCCTGGTTGCCTGTCTTTGTCTTCAGTCAGTGAGCCGCTGCTTGGTATGTTCCCTCCCCAAGGTCATAGGTTATGGTGGGGTCATAATGGCTGGAGAATCTTGTTTTAATTAGGTTCAATGCTAGTTTGTCACGTCTTCTTGGTTATTAACCACATAAACATTGTACTGTGTATAACACAGCACCACTGGTTGTCAACCCACAATATTTGTACCCACAATCCTTTGCAGAAGTTGAGGTTATTTTATTTGACTCTGCTTTCTTTGCTTCATTGTGTAGGTGATACATGTCACTCTTGGTTCTCCTCATGTCTGACGGTTATCCTGCTTGTCTGCTCTGTTACCCGCACTGCAGGAGCCCCTTTCACTCACCAGCGTTTGCCACAACACATGGTGTATTTCGGGGAGAGTTCGTGCGAGAGGGACCTGGACCGCTATCTTGACTCGCTCAAGTTCCTGTGGCGTCTGTACAGCCAAGAGACCCCTATAATCATCAACACCATGGGATGGGTCAAAGGTTAGCCAGCTCGCTGCGGCCTTCTTATGCTAGTTAGCAGAGAATCGGAAGGACCTCAGTGTCTTTGCTTCCTCCCTGCAGGTTTCGGCTTCCAGGTGTTGGTGGATCTGATTCGTCTGTTCAACGTCAGTCATGTGGTGCAGCTCAGCTATGGATATACCACCCAATGCCCCTCCCTCACTCCCGCCTTCCTCCAGTCTGCCCACGGCTGGCAGACCCGCCCTCCAGCTCAGCCTGCCCTTGGGCATGAGTTAGGGGAGCAGGAAACCCCAGAGGGTCACGTGCTTCTCACCGTCCAATCAGAATTTGAGGGTGCAGGCACCACAAGCAACATGTAAGGATTTGAATATTAGTGCTTCTCTGGATCTGATAGACATTGTGCTGTTATCTGAACAAAAACAGCAAAAAATACACTAGTGGCTAAAATTGTGGAAACAGTTCCATTTGTTGGAGATTGCAGAACATTATTCCAGCTACTTATTTCATCATCCAATGCATGATATTTGTAACATTCTTTGATCGTTTATACACATATTCATGCAGTAATTTTTGTGTAATGTGTAAGTGTAATGCCAAAAATGCTTTTGATCACTAGCATAGTCAAGTTGTGTAGCCAAGTTGGATTAAAAGCTAGTTGAGCGAATCAAATGCCTTCTTGCAGTTAACACCCAGTAACGTTTGAAAGTTCACTAGGTAGTGCTTACAATTGTCTTACTGAATTAATAAGCTTGTCTGCCCATGTGTTGTGCAACACAGAGTCAGAGCCCTGTAGTAATGAGCAGGATTTGTACTTTCATGGTCTAAGGCAGGGGTCTCCAACTCCGGTCCTGGAGAGCTACCGCCCAGTAGGTTTTCTATCCTACCCGGCTTCTGATGAGCCACAGCTGTTCTCAGGTAAATACCAGGAGCAGGTGCGGTTCATCAGAAGCCAAGTGGGACAGAAAACCTACTGGATAGTAGCTCTCCAGGACTGGAGTTGGAGACCCCTGGTCTAAGGCAAGACCAACTCAGATCGTCCCATGCGGATCCCTCCACACCCCCCGCCCCCTTTCAGAATGGTACATTCTATTTCAGGATGTACCACCGTAGCAATATCGTCCGTGACCTGGCGCTGCTCGCCTACTTCAGCCAGCTGCAGTCGCCTGACCCAGAGCCCATCCGACCCCTACACTGCTTTACTCCGTACCAGGTGAGGCGGCATCCGATCCCAAAACATAGGACGCCAGGGAAAGGATTAGTAATATTTATACAGGAAGTGCCCCCTGACTGGCTGATGAGTGAGGTGGCACGGGAAGGTTCATTGATATTCATAATGGAAATGCTACCTGATTGGCCAATGAGTAGAGTGGGGGGGGTCATTAATATTCCGGTGGTACCCGATTGACTGTTGTAGCACTTGCTGTATGAATATTAATGATCCTTCCGCTGCTGTCCAGCGTTTCACAAATTTGCCACCATCACGGCCTGATGCTTCCTCTGTGACCCCCCCCCCCCCCCCCTCAGGTATCCATGTCAGCCGTGGCCATGCGAGTGACGCATTGTGAGGTGGCCCCCGCCCACGTGCTGTATGCTGCCAATGGCAGCCTGGTGGGCCTCTGCTGCCTGGAGGAGAAGGTGGGGGGCGCGGGGGGGCCTGTGCTGCTCTCTCAGACCCCCATCTGCAAGTGTATTGGCTTTGGTATGTACCCCCCCCCCCCCCCCCCTTTGTGAGTGACCATGTGAAGTCTGCATTTAACTGTATTCTGGCAAAACACTGTAACTGCATTTTTTTTTAATCAAAATTCAGTTATTAGAAAATTTGGGTCTCTTAGCCTCTCTTATCTCATGCCAGGATATTTTAGTTCAGCTTCACTCCAGTCTGGAGAAAAGTCATTTACCTCCATACTGCACATACGGGTGGACGGTTAGAAACCTCCAAAAGCCCCTTTTCTCAGTTTCTGCATTGGCATAGTTACTGTGTTTTGCCTTTATACTATAGCATCGTTATTTCCACACAATACAATAAAAGAAGTTTGTTACGGTATCATTTTACACAGTGGTTTTTAGGTGGGTTTAATTCAGAATTCATGATTTATTTCACGTTCCAAAACCCAAGCAGTTCGGTGCCTTAGCAGGTTGTCTAGGAGTAACGGCCGTTTTGACGTCTTTCTAATCTAAATAAATGGTTGGGAATCATGAAGCGCACACACAGGTTCACCTCCCTCACACGGCCAGTCTCTTGCTTGCTCACCCAGGTGTCCTGCGGGGGGTGGACATGGCCCGCGGACTGTACTTCCTGGTGACCCCCGTGGCGCCCCCTGTCCTGCGGCAGGTGAACTGTCTCCTGCTGGGGGGGATTATGCTGCCGCATACCCTTCTGAGGGTCCAGGTGAGGAACCGCTCCGTAAAGCTGCTTCCCAGCCAGCTGCACCGAAGCGTCCTACGGCTTCTTGCGGGCTTTTGTACAAATGAGAGGAGAGACATCTAGCGGCCGAACTGCAGCGAATCACAGGTCGTCGACTCGGCGCACTGGGGTACTGAGTCTTGTCTATTTGGGAAGTTTAAACTCCACCAATCTTAATGTGATGAGACGGGGCAAAGCTCTGCTTTCTGTGCTAGCCACTGTGGTTGGGGGTGTGCCCCATGAAAGTGCTGGGCTTTCGTCTTGATTGATGACAGTCTTCATGTGCGTGAGTTATTGCTTGTGTGGTTTGGTATGTGGGATTATGTGTTACTGCCCTCGGGCAGGGCTGCCTCTCTCAACTGCATCTGAGTCAGTTTTATGACTCGTATGAGTGACTGAACCTGTTTGTGCATGTGCCGCCGTCGTCACCATCAGAGTTGCCACATGTGTGTGTCTGTGGCTGCGTGCACACCTCCCGTCTCGGTTGTGGTTGTACGTGCGCCGATGTTCGTCCGTCTCCGTTTCAGCCTGGAGTCCAGGGGGAGAAACCCTACATCACTACGGACTACAGCTTCGAGCTCAGCGGCGCGGGCAAGATGAAGGTCTTCAAGGGGCTCTTAAGACGGGAGTACATGGGAGGGGGTGCTCACTGACCCGGACGGGCAAGGCAGTGAGAAGTGGTGGGGGCTGGTCCAGAGACAGGAGAGGAGCCAGAATACCAGAACTTCTGTTTTTGAGAGCACGACCGATGGTCGGGAACAGTCATGAAAGTGATGTATCCACACGTACAGTAATCTAAAATTTCAAGTCATCGGTCGTGATGAGGATGAACTTGGGGGTAATGGCCTTCATTCTGGATCTGCTCGCTGACCGACTCACTGGACCTTCTGGTGGAGGCTGTTTTCACCTTTCATGACTTCAAGGTAGCATCACATGAATGACACTGTTGTTTTGTGCCCTGGTAGAATTGGATTCTGACCTGTTGTTTGGAAACAACATTCAACACACCCCACGTAAAGAAAATGCAGTGGAAGCCTGAGTAGAAAGTGAGTGTGATGTCACTTCTCCTCCCCCCACTTCTGCTCAGGATGGTTATTGTCGATGTCAGCCCCCGAATTTGCATCTTTGCTGCTCATCTTGCCAAACTTATGAGTAATGGTTCTCTGACGTGAGCGTCCGTGTGGGTGGAGTGCACATTATCGCATTCATCATGTCACCAGTGCTCACTTTCTAAAGCCCTGTCAGATATACAAATTGATGGTCTACCCTTAGATTTGACTTTTCTTTTTCCATCACCTTCCTTCCAAATGTGTTGTTTTTTTTTTTGGCCCCCGCCTGGTGACCCGCATCACCCGAGGGCGGCGTGTGCGAAGTCACAATGATCACTTTTTTCTTCCCATTTGAACTGAGTGCTCCGGTTGAGATTCGTCCACTGACGTTGCATCGCGCGTCGTGCAGGACGACCACCTCAGAGGTGGCTGTGAAAGCCATAGTTACCCGTTTCCTTCTGAAGCGCGCTCAAAGACATCCGAAGGCCTAGCAGGGAGGAACTGCATCGCAAGCAGCTATTTCCCGTGTGACCAGCCTGCACTGGACAAATCGCCTTCGTTTGTGATTTGGATCGTTGTGAAAACAGGCAGAGCTCTACAAACTCTCAAACGACTTTAGCGATGAGAGAAGTGTTTCTGGATGGTTCCCTGTCACCTGCTAACCGGCTTAACCCACTTGAGTACAGTAAAATAACCCACAAGGAGTGGGTTAACCACCAGTGCTTGGTAGTTCATGGTAATCACACTTCCTGAAGACTTGTTTCTCCTGTTGCTTAATTTTGTTTTTGAATGGCTCTTGACACTGGAGGGGGACTTTGTTACACAACCTGGATGACTCCAGACTTTGGCTGCCTGGACTTCCGTGTCAACATTTTTTTTGTGTCTCTTTTTATATACATGTATGACAGGAAAGGGGAGGGTTCTTGGTATAATAAAGCATTTTCCTTGTTCAGTTTCAGGTTGTTTTATAAGTGGGTATTCATTTTAAGGAGGAATAAGATGCAAGATTAAATACTGTCATGCATGAGTGGTACTGCTGTGGGTGGCATGGTGGCACAGTTGTTAGCAATGTCGCTTTACACCTCTGGGATCTGGGTTCGAGTCTCCACCATGGCTCCGTTTGTGTGTAGTTTGCATGTTCTCCCTGTGTCATTTTAAGGTTTCTTCCAGGTCTTGGATGTGTGAGTTTGCCCTGCGATGGTTTGGCTCCCCATCCTACGTTGTTCGCTGCCTTGCGCCAGTAGCGTTTGAGACTCCAGACCCCCCAGCAGCCCTCAATAGGACAAGCTTTAGAAAATGGATGGATGGAATGTACTAGAACACCAGCAGCGAAATGAAATTTGCTGCTAATTGAGTATTTCAAGGTTGGCATTATATCTTGGTGTTAATTATTCTAATGGTCTGGGGGTAGAAGCTTCTCCTCAGCCCCTCCATTCTGGTCATAAGGCTCTGGAGGTGCCTTCGTGGAACTGTTAATGACATGGGTGGTGAGTGTCTGCTGCTTGTTGCCCTGGATCTACATCACATGCGTGTTTGACCTGGTGCCGCCCTGTCGCCCACTGTGGGGCTCAGATCCTCGGAGCTGCGGCCACCACACCAGGCAGTGACGCTCCCGGAAAGCACAGATCCTGCAGAAGCGCTATACAAGGTGTGTTTTTTTTTGCAGCAGCAGCAGCAGCATAGAGGAGCTTTTCAGTTTCCTCAGGTGATACAGTTGCCTAGTTTTCTGCCCCAGGGTGGACATGTGGGTTGACCCTGTCTGGTCTGACGTACCTGTAGCTGCTGACCATCTCCACCAGATGTTTATTTCCTCTGCTGCTTCATGATCATCTCTTTGGTCTTATAGATTTTTAAGTCTAAGTTGTTAACCTGGCACAGAGACAGCTCCTATATTTTGTCCAGGTATGCTGTCGTCTCCGTGTTGGAGATCAGCCCTCCTATCACTGTGCTGTGTGTGACTGTGCAGTCAATGTGTGTACAGGAAGTAAAGCCAAGGGCTAAGCCCACAACCTTGCGGGGCTGTGGCACTAAGAAAGAGGGTATTGAGCAAGCCAACGACCCTCATCATCTGTGGTCCAACGAGTCAGGAAGTTCAGAACCCAGACACAGAAAGAGGTGTTCAGTTTTAGGTCCTTGAGCTGCGTGATCAGCCGAGGAGCGACTATGGTGATGAAGGCTATTCTGCGCTCGGTTGTTCTCGGTACAGGCACAAGCAGGGAGCCCTTGAAGCACATTGGGACGATGGAAGCTGATCTGATTTGATAATCTATAAGGATCATTACTGTGGCTCATTTCCGTTAATGCGTCCCGGTCAGGGTTATGGACGGTCTGCAGCCAATTCCATGCAGCACAGGGTAAGCAATGTTTCTCAACCGTGAACCCACTCTTGGGGACTCTGCAGTCCATTTTATTCCTCGCACCTCCCAGCACACCTGAACCAAACAATCAAGAACTCCAGATGCCTAGTACAGGTATGCTGGGAGCTGGGAGGGAGAAAAAATGTGGACACGTACACACATACTCAGTTGTAAACTGAACGATTTAAAGATATGTTAGCTTTCCAGCATGTGTTTGGCCTGTGGGAGGAATCTGGTGTAACTAGAGGTAACCTGCAGGACACAAGGGAGAAGAGATGAGATTCTAACCTCCAAACCCACAAGTGTGAGGTGACAGTGAGTCACTATCAGCGTGCAAATATCAATATCTGTATTCATGGAGGCTGACACCGTGTAGCAACATGTTTCTGCCAGTAGGTGGCAGTGTAAACTTGTTTCAGACATACAAGTAGTCATACAAAAACGGGATAAAATAATGGAAACATCACGCGAAAAATGGACTTTGAAGTTACTGAATCACATGTGGACGCGGCTACAAAGGTGAGTCATGTTATTCTGAATGCCAATTAGCAGATGTGTCCACTATAAAGAGGCCTGACAATCCGCTTTGATATGTGAGCTTTTAAAGCAACGTGAGGCACCGAACAAAGGGTTCCAAAGAGGAGAAACAGTCCGTGCCCAAATCACAGGTGCATCAATCACCAGAATTGCAAAATCACTCTTAAAATGCATGACGGCACATTCCGAACATTAGTAAACAGCGGTGGCAAGTTACACTAGAAGGAGTAAGCACTAATTTCTAAACGTCAAACAAAAAATACAGCCTCAAAAATGACCACAGAACTGAATCAGCACCTCTGTGACCCAGTCTCAACAAAATACTGGAATTTATGGCTGGACTGTTGAGTAGAAACCGCTTGTATCCAAGGCTGGTGCCCCAGGACACAGAACCTGGTGCAATGAGAAGAATATGGTCTGATGAGTCAGCCATCTTGCAGGAGTCATTGGGTTTGACAGCTGCTCTTCGTGGCTGTATAACGTTCAAGGAAACAGGCCTTTTTACAGGGCCAGCAGCACCCTATGGTGCCAACACTGTCCCCTCTATGATGTCCCCAAAATCCAAGATGGCTACAAACCCCTTAACAAATCCATGAGTGGTTTCATGAGCAACAATAAGTCAAACGCTCGCCATAGTCTCTCCAGTCACCAAATGTAAATATTGGACTTTTATGGAAAGTTCTGAATTGCAGAGTAAAAAGTCAATCTCCACCTCCGGTATCTCAGTACACACCGGTCAGGACATGTATCTGAGCATTCTAAAAAGGACTGAAGCTCTTCTGAACGCAAGGAGTGGTCCTTGAAATTAACATATTGTTGGGTATTTCTATTGTTTTAGCCATCCCTTGTAAATGAACATTCTGTATATCAGTTATGGGTCAATTTTTAGGAATCGACAACTACCATAAATATATTGCTACAATACCTCTGAGCCATTTTTACGCGTAACCTAGTAGGAGCTGAGTTTAGCAAAAGCTTCATTCCTCTGAATGACAACCCTGGCAGCCATAATCAGCATGTCACAAACTCCCACTGGTGTAAAGCTTAGATTAATGAACAATAACCCAGCCATGAAAGAGTGATCCGGAGTTATCGCATACCGGCTGGAGATGAGCCTTATGTGCATAGGAGGAGGGCTGTGGATGTCCATCTGCTCCCTCCGCTGCAATGTGAGCCTTCGTCCTGATTGGCTGCTAACCTTGACATGTCCATTTGGGAATGGGAGAGCTTCTGGAGAAATGCCGGCACCCCCAGTTTAACTGGGGCTGAGCCTGGATGTTTTTTTTTTGTGGTGGTCATCTCAAATGGATGAAGAAGAACAGTCAATGTCAACATGCTCCTTTAGATTACAAGAAGTTATCGATAAAAATCTTCGTAAACATCATGCTGTCTTCAAAATGAGCTTATCTACAGTAGAGCATGTTTGCCACCAGTTGATTTTTGCACTGTTGCATCATTTGAGCCATCAGCTGTTCTGTCCAGGACGTGGTCCAGGTTCCTAGCTGGTGTCCCAGAAGCCACAGAGCCGTGCTAAGTGGAGCTCACAGCATGTTGGGGCCGCCTCCGAAAAATGGAGGGAAAAATATTGCTCTTGTTTGACTTCTCAACCACAGTAATACTGCAGGTTGTCATGAAGCAGCACTCCCTGACATTTAAATAATTTGAATAATTAGGTTGGCATGTGGCTCAACGGGTTAGAATACTATGCCTAAAGTTAACAATTAAAACTCCCAAAGACAAACACAAGTGCTTGTGTGAGTAACTGGTGTGTGAGTGTGCACTGTGATGGGTTGGCCTTGTACCCTTAGCCTCAGGGATAGGCTTTGGACTCCCCCTAACCCTGAATAGGACAAGCCATTACAAAAAAATGGATGGATGGATGGATGGATGGAAGGAAGACAGACACAAGCATCTTCTGGCCTGTCTACAAGCTGCACACTGGAGGATGGAGAATAAAGAGCAATAGAGGCATTACTACCTAAAATTAAATAGTATATTGGTAGCAAACAGTGCTCCTCTACTCCAGGCTTCTGATGTGCCATATTGAAAAATTTACCAAGACACATTTGTGAGATGTTTGCAGTTATTTCATAAACACCTGGACCATATTGCACAGAACAAAAGACGGGCCGTAGTTTCTTTCTCAGTTCACAGCAATAAAACATTTTTAGTAGAAGGCGGTGGGAGCTGCGTAAATGCCGCCGCCAGTGCATTCTTGACAACGTCTTGATTTGGTCTTGCTCATTCTAGCGCTTGTCTCCCTGAGTTGGCCTGTTGTTCTGTACAGCACTTAGGATTGCCACATTGGGTAAGAGACCATTGAAATAAATCTCCCGTTACTCATTCCAGTCTATTAACGTGTCCACCACTTCAACCCACCATGACAGGGGCGTGCGAACAAACCCCAGACTCCAGGGGGTGTCGTCATTGTTTGGGACCCTTCCGTGCTATTGTTTTTCCTGAGTGGCAGGACTTGCATGAGAAAACCTTGCTGCTGGAGGTCTCATTGCGACAGGCCAAATAGGGGAAAAAAAAGACGAGAATAAACACATTTCACTCCCTTGATGAAATCACCCAGAAATGTAGACTAAACCTTATGACCGTTTGGCTTACACAGTATAAATGAAAATGACTTGAGGAACCAGGGCAAACCTGAGGAGAGTAGAAGAATGCAGGAGATACACAGACTCTAAGGACATAGTTCATTTCTTGTTTTCCAAAGATCCGCCTAGGGATAGATACATCCACCGGGAAGACTGTGTCGGTAACGTTGTGATCGCTCAGCCTTGGACCAAAGTATTAGTCATCCTGGAAGAGAGTGATCTTACGATCCTGCCAAAAGGCCTTTTGAGATCCTCTTCCCAGATCAAGATCTTGTACAAGCCACCATCCATCAGTAAAATTGCTGCCCCGTTTGCGTTCAGGAATTTTTAAAAGGCAACTTAATACTGAAATGTAGAAAGATCTACAGCACTGGTCTTCACTGGCCCTTTAAAACCAGGCAGGTCATAGAAAATACACTTTCTTCAGACGATTATATGCAGATGTTTTAATATTTTTCAAATATGTATATATGCTTCTACAAATGTGTGAAATTCCATTAATCAGCTGCAATTTATCTATCTGTTCATCTCTTCATTTCCCATTGCATTTCCCAAGTGCACTGTGGTGGTGAGCTTTGAATCTGCCTCTAGAAGTATAGAATAATCTGCATGAGATGCCAGTCCATCACGGGGCATACACAGAACCAAGCTCATGTAAACATCGCACGAGGAACTCCAGAGCTAAGACTGAAATGGATCCCACAGCTCTGAAGATATGAGACCACATTACTGCCTCTCAACTTCTAATAACATTTACGTTTACATGTACTTATTTAGCAGGCATTTTTGTCCAACGCAAGTGAGGAAAATAATACATCACAAGCATATGGCTGTCATGGAGCCAACTTAGGTACATGTTTTTAAAGAAGCCAGAATTAATTTCAAGGACTAATTGAGCACTTGGACGGCATAGAACTTTGCAGAGTAATTACTCACTGTTTGCGGGTAAGATTTCATGTTAATTCAAGACACATTTCCCATTCTACTCCATACCTTCAGCTTGGATCCCAGCTGAAAGTAACAGCACAAATCTGCCTTTGATCAGCATTTCAAATGTTGAGCAAAGAGGAAGTGGGCAGCAAACAGAGGTAGCCAGTTAATAAACATAGAATGGCATCCCTCCTCTGTCCTGGCTGTCCGTCACAGGCGGCAGAAATTGGAGTATTTGAAGTCAGAACGGTGCTGGTGAAGGGGGGGGGGTCGGTGTTCAAGTAATGCAGCATGGTGGTCCTGGTACTTGGCAGAAATGAAAAGGCTTCCCCTACGACGTCTGGAAGATAAAAGGAGACATGGTGCCTCAGACGCAGAATCTGTTGATAAAAAGGTCATTGGTTCACCTGCTTTTGCTTTTACCAAGCATACACTCATTTCCTTGGATTTTACATGTTTATGCAACAGGATTCTTTCTGAAAAAGGAGATTAGGATAGCAGTGGGCCTGAGACCTCACCCTAGATCTTTGTCACTAGTCCAGGTCGTACCTTCTCTACTGCCGGCTGTTTCTCCTAATACTTCCTGTACCCATCTAGAAGGATCTGGAGGTGACTTCCTTTGTTGACTCTTTTTGACAATTGAGGAGCTAATTTCTAAAAGTCACCTAATCCACAGGATACATGACCGGGATAAGTGCATTTTGGAAATTTGCTTTTCAATTATTCTGCGCCACATTTCCCCGAATGTCTCTGACACGTCTTGGTCATAAGGCTGAAATATGAGTTTGCAAGCCTGGATGACTAAGCATCAGGACAACCGCAATGCTTATTTAATGCTACACCGTGCTTATTTTTCTTGGCCTTTTATATTAGTACGCCATGGGTCATTCTCAAACAACAGGCGATTTTCATTAAAACAAAGCTGAAGTGATTTGACCTCTGAAGCACACCCCGCTCTGCCGTGCGTGTCTTTAACATTGTTAGACCACGCCCCTCCTCTTTGAAATCAAGCTACTGTAATAGTAGGAACCTTAGTGAGGACTCCATGATAGTCTTGAGGGACCTTAGCTGTATCTAGGGCAACGTGAAGTGCATCCTGGTGTCACAGGAGGCCTGCAGGCAGGAAACCTGCTCCTCCAGCCTAAGTGGAAGCACACAGAGAGTGAGGCAGCCAGGTGCAGGCCTGCCTGTGCATGACGTCAGCTCCCTACGGCAATCAAACTTCAAACCGGAAATCCACGTGTTTAAGCAGGTGCACATGTCGAGATTTGTAGGGATTATGGGTTCCTGGTATTGATCCCCCCCCCCTCCATATACATTACTTCTGCTTCGGCCCAAGGTGTCTTCAGTCTGGTCATGATAACAAGGAGCAATTTATCCTCATCCCAGTACAGAAGCTTGTGGTGATCGTGTTTATTGCTGTTTGCACCCTATATTTTAAGAACATAAGTATTCCTGAGACCAAATTATCCCTTGGTTTTCATCAGCATTTTATTTTATTTTATTATAGAAAGAATGTCTGTATCATTAAAGGTGATTTGACGGAGCTAGAGGCATCTATATATTGTTCTGTCTTGCGCTCCCTTCTCATCAAAACCAAGAAGTTTAGAAAAGTTTCAAAAGCCATGTTTAATCTGTAAAGTATATGAAAAACAAACTACAAGCCTGTTTCCAAAAAAGTTGGTGTGCTATGTAAAATTTAAATAAAAACAGAATGCACTGATGAACAAATCCTACAAACCCATATTTAACTGAAAATAAAACAAAGACTACATATCAAAAGTTGAAACTGAGAAATTTAATTGTTTTTATGATATATATGCTCAATTAGAATTTGGTGTCTGCAACACTTTTCAAAAATGTTGGGACAGGGGCATGTTTACCACAGTCGCATCACCTCTTCTTTTAACAACATTATGTGAATGGAAACTGAGGAGATCAGTTGCTGGAGTTTTGGAGGCGAAATGTTGTCCCATTCATGCCTGATATAGGATTTCAACTGCTCTCCTTTGAAATGTTTCCAGTGGGTGACAGGTCTGGACTGCAGGCAAGCCCGTGTAGCACCCAGACTCTTCTATATGGAGCCATGCTGTTGCAATACGCACAGAATGCGGTTTGGCATTGTGTTGCTGAAATATACAATATACAATATACAAGGCCTTCTCTGAAGACGTCGTGTGGCTGGCAGCATATGTTGCTCCAAAACCTGTATATACCGTTCAGCATTAATGGTGCCTCCCCAGATGTGCCAGCTACCCAAGCTAATGCACCCCCACACCATCATAGATGCTGACGTTTGAACTGTCTGCTGATAACAATATGGACGGTCCCTCTGTTCTTTAGTGTTTTGTTTAGCATTACACAGCTTTTCCAGTCTTTACTTGCCCCTGTTCCAACTTTTTTTTAAATGTATTGCTGGCATGAAATTCAAATCGAGCAATTATTTGTTATAACACGATAAAATTATCTCAATTTCAACATTTGATATGTTGTCTTTGGTTTATTTTCAATTAAATATGGGTTTTTATGTTTCGCAAATCATTGCAGTCTGTTTTTATTTACATTTTACATAGCGTCCTAACTATTTTGGAAACGGGGTTGTACTAACGTTAGTAAGGTAACATGCGTTGAAGTTTGCTCCATGGCACTCCTAGCTGTGAGTGTAGGAATATAGCGTCTCCCAAGGAGGAGTAAAGAAAAGGAAAAACCTCATGAAAAGCTGACCGAATGAATGGAAAATGCTACTGGTGGCCGAAAAGACCGAGGGTATGGATGGAGGCGGGTGACTAGTCTGTGGCGCGGATGATTTTCAGTTCAGCCCAAAGCGGAAACGAGGGCTTGCGTAGGGAAGGTTGGGACAGGGAAAAGCAAGGGGATAGATTGGGTTTTATTACAGTTGCTTCAGGCAAATGATAAGGAAAAAGAGAGCCGCTCCGGTGAAATGAAAATTTACGGGAATCTGAGCGTCCGACGTACATTGCTGCGCCTTTTTCATGCTTCAACAGGTTATTGCAGCCCCGCAGAGAGCACTTACGTCCGCTTTTTTGCCCCCAAATCCATACCCCGGCATTTACCTTCCAGTTATTTGCCTTGTAAACTGAGACGGAGCCGTGAAGAGAGCGGATGTAAGCGAGGATACGTTTTAAATCGCTCTGTTCTCTTTTAGACGTGGGGAAGGACGGGTGTGAGTTTGAGAAGTAAGTTTAGTGGCAGGCAATTTTAGTTAAGGATTTAAAAAGGACTTCTGAAAAGACGACGCGGAGTCTAAACTAAGCGAAGTTTCTCCGGGATCCGGTGCAGGTAACGCGACTTAAAAGGCAATTGGGACAGGAAGCATTGTAGCAATCTGACTTGATTCATGCATTAAAAAAAACAGCAAATTATGTGTAGCTGGCAACATAGAACAAAATAAATCGAGAGTTTGAAAGAGCCGTGCAGGCGTGGAGATCGTTTGAACTGCGGCCAGCGGCTGGGAGAGACAAAGCGGAGAGGAACGATCCTGACCCCGATGGTGCTGTCCCGGCCGGCCGGCGCGTTTGGGGCTCGGAGCGACGAGAGGGACCCGAGATCCAGATGCACATAGATGGTACCGAAGTGGAGAATGAACTCAGTTTTGCATCGGTCACCGCCGCGGGGCTGGTTTCTCCGGTTACGGCTCAGTAAGTGCGGACAATATGTTTGAAAATCTAAATATCATGTCTCTAGTATGGAGAATCTGCTCATTTTGTGAAAGCTGTATTCATAGAGCGAAGCAAACAAAACTAATACGTATGCGTTGATTTTTTGACGTGCAAAGAACGGACTGACAGGTAAAATGTATAATATATTAACGATTCATAATCAAATTTTTCATTCTTTTGATGAGTGGAAGAGTGGTTTCTTTGTGAGTAGTTAAAATAACGTGTGCCTGAGGTTTGGGGGTTATGTGCCACGGATGGCAGATAAATCAGTTTCCAGTTGGACACTTGGCACAGGGGTCTCGACTGGCCACAGTCAAGGTAGTAAAGCGCTCAGATTCCCGGTTAAAAGGTGATTTTTAGCCTGCTTTCCCTTCGCTGCATACAGAGGTAGCTAGCAGTGTTCCATCAGTTTGCCTGAATCAAACATCGTCGATCCTAATGGGGAAGCCTGCAACATTAATTCGATCACGTTCAAAATTTCAGAGGCTAAACGAAGTTTGTTTCATCAGTTGTGGTCAACTGATCTTTTTGGGATCATCTGCATATTTGAAGCTCACACAATGAGTAGCACATAGGAGATGGTGAAGTAATTGGTACAAAAACCATCCAGCCTGGTGCCTACTGGAAGGACGCAGTATGAATGATTTTCGTGAAACATGGAATCACCAAAGGGCTCAATAGACACTTATCCTATTAGAATGATGAAATACTACTTTCTGGGGTTTTATAGTGTAACTTTTGAGTGCCGTTGGTGATGCTGTGAAGTATATGCTCCAGAGATATCCACTATTGACTTTTAAAGAACCAGGAAAGTGGAAGTGATAATCATGTCTCCTGATCCTGGTCTTTGAGTAGATTGCCCAGATGTAAAATTACTTTGAGAGGTCACACTGTTTGTCAACTAACATGCTTAAAATGAGTTTCAAATAAGGCAGTTAGATCTGAAAGCTTTTCGCCCTTATCTATCTATCTATCTATCTATCTATCTATCTATCTATCTATCTATCTATCTATCTATCTATCTATCTATATCAAAGTTCAGTTTAAAATGTGAGATCACTGAACTGATGATGGGTTTGCGGTGCATACTTTTAGCATCGGGTGTCAGTTCGTTATGTGTCTGGTTAAAAGATCTGGATTCAGGGTCCATTAAAATGAATTGCTAAGATGCCTATAAATTTTGCATTGTCCTGAGGTGGGGGCGGGGGCATTGTATGGGCTTGTGGTACAGGGTTAACCCATACAAGGGGTGGCTTTTTAGCATTAATAAAGGAGTAACTATGTCCTGGGAGAAATTCATTAAGCTCAAGATAATAACTGGTAGTAACCAAAAACAGTCTAAATTGAAATATGCAGAGTATTTTTAAGGGTCTGTCAGTGGAATAATGATGGATAGTGGGAAATTGTTTTGCTGTGACCTGTGAGGGTAAATTATACCCATCTGAAAGGCACATAACTAACTGTCTGGCCGCTTTCTTGTGGTTCCTATAGCATATGCTCTTTTCTGTACCTCAGTGTTCCGCTCCTTGCCAGCTGGAACGTACCTTGCGCTTGACAGAGAGCCAGTGACTCTGCAGGGCTGCGTGTGCCAGCCGCTCGCTGGTGCGTGCTCAGAAACGGCCCTGCCCCACCCCCACCCCCACACCCTTGCGCCTTCCAGACGGCCAGCGCCCAGGACTTGTTTTGCTCCCGGCTGCAGCCGCACAGCCGGTCGGCCGGTTTCGATGGCTTGCCCCGTAGGGCCGCTAGGCTGACCGGGTTATGCGGTTCACCCAGGGAACAGAGGGCGTGAGACTTGGCACTAAAGGTTTGGTCCGACCAGGACGACATTACCTGCAGAGCATGAAGCAGGCAGGGAGTGTTCTAGCTGGGCATCAGAGCGGTTTCTGGGCCTCCTGCTAGCTGGCCAGCACTTACGCGAAATACCCGAATTAGCTCCGGGTTGTTTTCAACTAAGCGGCGGCCACTAAAATGGAGGAATGTGATTCTATTTGCCGTGAGTCACCTCGATTGATGGTCAGTGGTGTTCTGCTCAAATGTCTGGCCCCGGCCAGCCGGCCGTACCCACACAGCCCAGAGCAGAAGCGGGGTACAGACTCAAGGCAGGCTGGCTAACAGCTGCATGCCACTCAACGCTAATATTGGTCATTCTGTGCCTGATCAGGGTTAGGGGGGTGGGGTGGTTGATGCATTGTAATAGGTTATACTTGTCTGATATTTGTAAATGAATAGTAACCAGGAGTGTCACTAGATATTTATGAAAAGGTGGGGTCAGCCTTTACTGGGGGGTCTGCTGGAATAAGAACATTAATTGGGGTATATTATGGGAGGCCTGAAACCACCCTAAAACGGCCCTAGCAGCGCCCCTGGTGGTGACCTAGGTGTATGGTGCAGGATCAGGTGCAGGTGGAGGGGGTATATTGAATGGGTGCGGGAGAAGCCATCTGATTGGTGGATATCGGGGCGTCAAACTGGCATGCACTGCGTTTGCGATCCTCTAATCTGGGCCAGCATGCCTGCCTGCCCTCCCCATCCTGGGTCATGGGGCCCTTAAGTCTCCCAGAAGCAGACTGGTTTAATCTGGGGCCAGATGTCGGCCTGTCTGTGGGGTGCTGGCATTTGTTCCCCTCTGGTTTCGGCGTTCCTCCCAGGGGCTGTTTCGCCATTGATCCACATATAACCCCCCCATATTGAGCCTACTTCCAGCAGTGGTCCTGGTGGTGGTGTGGCCCTATGGAGGCGTTTCGGGGTGTTTGGCTCTTGGCTGTCCCTTCCCTTCAGCAGCCTTGGAACTGGAGCTCATTTCAAATGCTACTTTGTTTTTTTTTTAAAAAACTTTTATATTAGGTGTTTTATTGGAGGGCTGTTTGAGTGAAATATTGATCTCTGGTTTCTCCGCCTTGGGTCTGCAGCCTTGCTTTTTCTCTGTTGAGCAAGTTTTTATTTTTTTTGTGTTTTTGTGTGCTTTTTGATTTCCCTCATGTTGTGGACAACTGAGGATGAGATGGTTTTGATATCCCACTGCCAGCTACGAAATTGTACAGAACTACCAGGGGTTATTCCTCTCCTGGAATGTGCGAGTTTGTCAAGCCTTTTTCGAGGCCTGCTTCAGACCTGAGATCTTAGACCCAAAGCTTTAAAGATCAATTATCATTCCGCAAATTTCCGGCGTTCCTACCGCGGCGCCGACCTTATGGCGGGATGGCACAGATATGGCAGCCCAAATTTAGCTGAGCGCCTGGGAAAACTGTCACGCTGCGAGGTTCTTGTGTTTCCACAGCCCTCCAGGTCCGTGTTTACCGGTCAAGGGTGGATTTATGCACCGGTTAGCCTAGGCTACTGCCTCAGGCCCCTCGGCGGACAGAACGGACCCCACCTGAAACTGTGTAACAGTGATACTTACCAGCACCCCTCCCCTCAATCGGTAGGTCTTACCACTCTGACCCTGTGCTGCAAAGTTGGGGGGCAGCCGACTGACTGAAAGGTTGTGGGACCGCAGGGGTCTGGCCGTCCCTGGGGTGACCTTTCACCTGCATGCGAGCAATCGGACCCTGGGATGCTGGGCCATGTGAGCGGGCCTGCTTTGGTGTCCAAAGTTTTTTTTTTTTTCCCCCCCCAGTCCCCACAAGGGAAAGCACATTTTTATAAAAAAAAAAAAATATGTGACTGCATTCAAAAAACTAAAAATTTGTCTGGTTACTTATGGTTAACATTAGGGCTGGGCAGAGGTTAAGGTCATCATTGTTGGGATTAGGATTTTGCCCATAGAAATGGATGGATGGTCCCCACATAGATATAAATACAAACGTGTGTGTCTGTGTGTGTGTGTGTGTGTGTGTGTGTGTGTCTGTGTGTTTCTTTTTTTTTCTACTTAGCTTGAGCCAGTTCCTCTGCACCTGTGGGGGAAACGGAAAGGTTCACGTTATTAGAAATGTCGTAACTAAGCATTGTTGTGTTGGTTAAAATAAAAAATTGCAGAGATTGTGTGATGTGTACACATTGTGTGATATAAACACACAGAAGTGGATTAAAAAAAATCTTTCCTAGGTCTTTCATAAACTGAGAACCAGGAAAAAATTAGTGACAGGTGTTAAATGTAATATTCATAAGCCATCAAAGATTCTTATAACTCATAAAGTAACTTGTATGTCTAACAGATCTGTCCTTGGCACAGGCTTATTAAGCTTTTTCTTTTATTAAACAGCGTGCCATGTCTAACCTCTGCTGTGCGGAAAAAGAACTGATGATGTCCAGCTGTTTTATGTCCAGAGATGAAGTCATTGTCTGGAATACAGATTCAAACAGCTGAAGGTTGTTCTTCTGGCCTCCCTCCCCCTTCTTCCCTTATTTCTCACGCACGCAGACACGTCCACGTCCTCGCACACGCACGCAGACACGTCCACGTCCTCGCACACGCACGCAGACACGTCCACGNACGCAGACACGTCCACGTCCTCGCACACGCACGCAGACACGTCCACGCACACGCACGCAGACACGTCCACGCACACGCACGCAGACACGTCCACGCACACGCACGCAGGCACGTCCACGTCCTCGCACACGCACGCAGGCACGTCCACGTCCTCGCACACGCACGCAGGCACGTCCACGCACGCCCACGCACTCGCATCGTCCACGCACTCGCATCGTCCACGCACGCAGACGCGTCCACGCACGCAGACGCGTCCACGCACGCAGACACGTCCACGTCCTCGCATTCGCACGTCCACGCACGCACGTCCACGCACGCAGACACGTCCACGTCCTCGCACGTCCACGCACGCAGACACGTCCACGTCCTCGCACGTCCACGCACGCAGACACGTCCACGTCCTCGCACGTCCACGTCCTCACACGTAGGCACGTCCACGCACGCAGACACGTCCACGCACTCGCACGTCCACGCACGCAGACACGTCCACGCCCTCGCACGTCCACGCACGCAGACACGTCCACGTCCTCGCATTCGCACGTCC